CAACAGTGCTAGAAAGCCAAAGTTTAAAGCCTCCTCTGAGACTCAAACTCTTAATTATGACCCCCGCCCCCCGTAAAACTCAAAAAGTTAAACATTTGCAACATACAATGGCACAGTGTAAACATTCCCATTTCAAAATGAAGGAATAGAGAAATAAAAAGAAATTGGACCAAAGCAGGAACAAAACAGGAAACATTAAATCCTGTAGTACCTTGTCCAGCAACTGGGCAGCTTGTGGTAAGATGTGGGCCCCCAAGAGCCTGGGCAGCCCTGCCTCTACCTTGCTGATTATACCCAACATGGCCTCTCTCTTTCACTGACTCTGCTTTCTGCCTCTAGTTTTCCTTAGCAGACAGTCTACATTCCAGGCATCTCCAGCTTCCTGGAGTCTCCACTTCTCCTTCAGCTTCACCCTCACAACCTCACGCTCTGTCCTCTCAAAGCCAGACTGCCTGGCCTCCCATGCCTCCTTTTGAAATCTGGATAGAAGTCTCCATGACCTCATAACTCTTACACTCCACATGCCTGTAAAATCAGCATGACATCAATGCTATCAGGTCTGCAACCAACTCTGGCAATAGTCAGGCCCCGTTGGACCATAGTTGTAGTGGCCTCTGATGGCCTGGATAGCTGAGCACAGTGAAATGAATCCTAGGGAACCAAATCCCTGAGCAGCTTTCTTTTTTTTCTTTTTTGGTACTGGAGATCGAACTCAGGACCTTGTGCTTGTGAGGCAGGCGGCGGCACCACTGAGCTAAATTCCTGGACCCTGAGCAGCTTTCTTGAACGGGCAGCCCAGGAACTCTCTTCACAAATGAGAAGTTTACACTTTTATACCTTGGAGCTTGTGATTTCTTGCTGATTTCTGAGATATCTTCAAGCCACTTTTCCTACTGTAGGGTTATAAAGTACTTGGCCTCTTTTTAGTGCAAACCTTTTCAGTAAACATGCTTTCCCTTACCCCAACTTTGCAGGCACTTTCTTCTTGGCAAAACTGGAAACTTTGTATGTCTTTTGGCTCTCCCTTTTGCTCCTCATTCTCACTGTAGATCTGGGTATAAGCAGCAAGCAGTACCTATGCCACAGGCTGAATGTTGAGCTGCATTGAAATTTTCTCCATCAGATCAATTAGTCTACCACCCTGAATCTCAATCTTCTCCAAATCTCAGGACATAGGCAAAATGAGGACAAATCTTCTGTCAGTTTGTAACACACTTGGCCTCTAGCACAACTGCCAATGGGGTCCTTGTCCCCACTGGAACCTCCTGAGACTGTCCTTTACTGTTTGCATTCCTGTTGGCATTCTGATCTTCTTAGCTTTAATCAGAATGTCTCATCATGCTCTGCTTACAGAAATCTAGGGGTTCTCTAGCCCACATCTCCAAATCCTCCCAAACTCCTGCACAACCAAGTTCCAAAGGCTTCTAAACCACATGGTCAGGCACAGTCATAGAATGACCCCTCTTCTGGTACCAATTTTCTATAATAGTCACTTTCTATTTGCTGAGTCAAAATACCCAACACCTACAACTTAAAGGAGGCAAAGTTTATTTGTCTCATAGTTACAGTCCATGGTTAGCTGGCATCAAGGCAAAAAACAAAAGCATGGTGGACAGCTGCTCACCCTATGACAGCCAGGAAGCAGACAGACAGAGTAGGAGTGAGGGACAAGAGTATATATCCCCTGCCAAATCACACTCCCAGTGACTTCCTCCCACCAACTTCACATTTAAAAAAGGACAAGTACTTTGTAACAGGACAAGAGGAAAGAGGACTTGAAGATATCTCAGAAATCAGTAAGACTCCACCCATCACAGTCTCCAAGGTATAAAAGTGTAAACCTCTCATTTATGAAGAGAGCTCCTGTGCTCCCTGCTCAAGAAGGCCCCACCTCTGAACATGAAACTTCTGGGAGACATTTTAGATCTAAACCCTAACCTCACTCCTTGCTAGTCTTTGATCCCCACATACATTTATCCATTTACCAAATATTCATGAAGCTCCTTCTAATGTGTCAGATGCTGTGCAAGACACTGGGCATTACTAATGAGGAGGAAGATGTGATCCCCACGTGTATCCATCTGTTTAGCTTACAACAAAACCCCACAGATTTGGTGGCTTAAATAATAGGAATGCATTCTCCCACAGTTCCTCAGGTCAGAGGCCTGACACCAGGGTACCAAAATGGTCATGTTCTGGTAAGGGCTCTCTTCTTGGCCTACAGATGGCTACCTCCCCACTGTGCCCTCTTGTGTCTAGTGGACAGCAAGAGGGAGATGCTAAGAGGGAGAAGGAGTAGAGGGGAAAAGAGAGTGCTATCAAGTGTCTTTCCTCCTATAAGGGCACTAATCCTATCATGAAGGCCCCACATCTACATATTATAGGCTGTAAACATAATCATCTCCCAAAAGCTTCACGTCCTAACACCACCACACTGGGGACTTGGGCTTCAACATATGAACTTTGAAGAAACACATTTTAGTTCACAGCACTGTTCTCACAAAGTGTTCCGTCCAGTGTTAGATGTTGACACTACATGCATGATAGAAACAAGAATATTTTGCCTTGTGGTAAGTGGCATAAGGGTACTAAAATGAGTTTGTGATGACCAACCAGGAAGAAACCAGCTTGCCTTGAAGAGGCTGACTGGAGAAGGCTTCTCGAAGGCAGCAACACACATACATCAGAAACTTAGTACAATAAAGAGAAGGAAAAATACTTCATTGATAATTTCACATTGATTGCATATTGAAAGGCTAGTACTATATTTGATACACTGCATTAAATAGAAGATATTATTAAAATTATTGTCACCTGTTTCTTTTTTACTTTATAAAATGTGGCTATTGGAAAATCTTAAACTTGTCTTGCATTGTACTTCTATTGGACATTTTCCCCCTACATTATTCCTTTTGTGCTAAAGATAGCACTGAGGGAGGAGAAAAAAAGAATGGCACCTCAAAGAGGTAAAGTAAGGGTGAGAGTAGAAAGCAACACATTGGGAGCTTTCTACTGGTAGCTCAACTTTGGGGAAGTTGAGCTGGTACAACAGACTAAGTGGCCCTTTCAGAATAAGACAGGCTATTCTTGGGTACACATTTATTTTGAGGGTGACGGAAAGGTGAAATTAGATAGTGGTGACGGTCATATAACCTTGTGATATATTTTTAAATGCATCTGAATTATACTCTTTAAAGGGTGAATTCATGTCCCAACTGTGTCTCAATTAAAAAATAAAATAAAAAACAATAGGGAAGTCTAATATTGACAATGTCTGTTACATTGCAAGAGTCCTGATTTTTCTGGAAAGCTTCTTACTTATCTTTCTTTTCATGTGTAGGTTGAAGGTGACCACAAGAAGAAGGAGCACCGGTGTGATCTGGGTGATGACAGAGGTGAGATGATGAGAATTCACTTCACTACCCTAGCAGTCAGAGCCAGAGCTTGGGAATTGGCAAATCCATTGGGGATGGCCTAGATGGCTCTGCCATGGGTTGCAACACAGAGATGCAACCAGGAGATATCACTACCTGAGGAGTGAGTGACTGTAGCTGATATTAGAGTAACTCTGAGTATCAGGAACAAGTGTTTAATTAAATCAACATAATAAAGGCCTATCTGTAATTATGTACTTCATGCCAGAACTTCCTATGTCGTGCAAAAGGAGGTACTCTACTCACTGAGCATCCCCACACCTAGTGTTATGTTAGTTTCCCAGCACCAACCTGAGATGAAGCTCTCTTTCCAGGGCCAACAACAGACAAAGTTGAGTTTCTTCTGTACATAGTCTCATAGGTGATTTAGAACATGGGTAGATATCAGTCACAACCAAAACAATTTTTTTCGAGACAAAGTCACACTATTTAGCCCAGACCAGTCTTGAATTTCTGTGTAGCCCAGTCTGGCCTTGAACTTGAAATCCTTTTGTCTCAGCCTCCAGAGTGCTGGGTCAATCAGCTTTTCTCTGCCCTGCACTTGACAAGATGCCAGAGGAAGAATGACAGAGGTTGACCCAAGACCTGGCCTCGATGAGCTTCATGTCTAGTGGGAAACTCAGAGTCTATGGCTAGCCATATAAACTTTTCCCAATTTCACCAAATTTATCTTTGGTTATGCTGGCATTTACTGCCTTATTTTTCAGTCTGTGCTGTTTGTTTTTAATTTAGGAGAATGAAAAATGGTGATTCTTTGATTCTCCCTTATCTTTCTGATAGATTCTGCACAAGGCGTGTCCACTTGTACCTTTATGAACTGTGTACCTCCTCCCTGCCTTGAATGCTTTTTGCTTTCACTTTTCCCTGCAGTGAAGGCCAGGTCACTCTTATCAAGAGTTTCTGGTGTGTACAGGCTTTAGAGACTCCTTCTGTTGACTTCTTTTTTGTTTTGTATTGTTTTTTTGAGACAAGGTCTCCTTAAATAGTTCAGGCTGGCCTTGAACTCACTATGTAGCCCAGGCTAGCCTTAAGCACACCTTGATGCTCCTGCCTCAGCCTCCAAAGTGCTAGGATTACAGGTGTGAGCCACCACACTCAGCTCCCCTCTGTTAACTTCCTCACCCACAACACACCCAAAGCCTGTGCTGCTGAGGAAAGAATTTCTTTAATATTATTACCCTTAGTTCATATTTGTGGAATATGATGTCTACACCATTGAGGTTATTAGGATCTTATTTCTCATCCCCTCCTTCTCCCCTTTGTCCCTGGACTCCTTCCTAACTGCAAAAGAGTCATCCCCTGTCTCATTCTATCCTTCCTTTATTTTTATCTTAGTTTGTATTTTGCCTTATTAACAAGAATGAAAGGGGGGGAAAGGGAAACTAGAGGAGGAGGGGAGACTGGGGAGGGAAGGGGTTAAAAGAGTAACAAGCTGTATTATGTACATGTACCAATTCCCCAAGAGGATTGTAAAATGCATGTATGCAAGCAAACATGTACTGACAAAATAAAAAAAAAATTTAAGAATTCCATTGAAACCAACTTTAATGAGTGAGTTAGGAATAGTTGCAGAAGCAAAGAAACATTGAGACCCATAAGTCATGACCATGGTCCATCGACCCAGCATTAGAAAGACATTTATGTAACCAGGAAATAGCACTAGGGTTAACATTCCCTGGAAGTGAGGTGGACATCTGTTGGTTTTGCTACTGCACCAGCCAGGATCTCTGCAGTAAAGAAAAGACAAATTGAGTGATATGAGGAAAATTTAATGAATAGCACAGGAAGGGTTGAAGGACAGTGGATACCTTCCAGAGAGTAAAAGTTAGGATCTACTTTTTATATCTAAAAGGGCAAAAGATGGGATTCATTCCTGGAATCTGGAAGTACTGAACTATGACCTTCAGATGAGGGGCACGGGACACAGTGGCCTTGCAAGAAGGTACCAGGGAGAATAAATACTCTGACTTCTTTCTCCTCTCTTCCTCCAGCCTCCAGCCTACTCCTCTTTGTCAGAGGTCAGCCTCAAGGACAGAGAGAAGGGTGGAGAAAATGGCAGAGGAGAGTAGATAATGTGTGGATCTTCCCATAGTCAACACATGCACTCAGAGCCCACCCAGCCTCTTTGTTTCTGGTAACAGGGCCCTTCTCTGGTTTAGGGGAATGTTATGAGTTAAACAGTATCTTCCAAATACATATGTTGAAATCTTTGCCCCAGTATCTTGGAATATGTCCTTATTTGGCAATAGGATTTTTGCAGTTGCAATTAGTTGAAACAGTTCTGGAGAGGAGTGGGTCCTTAATCCAGTTTGACTTGTGTTCTTACAAGAAAAGGGAAATATGATCACAGGCACAGAGGGAAAGCAGCCATGTGAATACAAAGGCTGAGAATGGAGAAATGTGGGCACAGTTTAGGATCACATCACCTGGGTTACCAGAAACTGGAGGAGGCAAGGAAGGCCCCTCCCCGGGAGCCTTGGGATGGAGTGAATCCCTGCCAATAGCTGGACCTCAGACTTCTGGCCTCCAGAACTGACAACATGAATTGCTGCTGTTTTAAGCCATCCAGTTTGTGGTATAGGTTGAACATCCCTAATCTGAAAATGTGAAATCCAAAATGTGCCAAAATCTGAAACTTTTCGAGCACTGACAGGATGCTACAAGTGGAAAATCCCACACTTGCCTTCATGTGACAGCTTGCAGTGAGAAAGCTGGCACACAACCCACAGTCATATAAAATTACCTTCAGGTTATATGTATCTGGTATGTCCAAACATTAAATGAGTTTCATATTTAGACTTGGTTCCTACCCCCATGATACTTCTTTATGTAACACAAATATTACAAAACCTGAGACACCTGCGGAACCAAGCATTTTGGATATGGGATGTTTAACCTGCATTTTTTTTGCAGTATCCCCAGAGATGAATTCAGAAGCTAACCTTCCCTACTACATGTCATCTTGTGTTGAGCTGGCAACTCTGCCCAAGCTAAAGGAAAAAGGTGAGCTTCCACTGGAGTGTTAATTTTGAGCATACGTATAGAGATGGACAGGCCTTGATTCATGTCCCAGTTTTGCCAGAGGATCAGGGGTGGATCAAGATAGGAGAAAACATGCCTCAGGAGCTGCCTCTTTGACAGGAAGAAGACTGCAAAGTCATGTAAACTGGAACTCATTGACAATTCTACTCCTGAGAACCCCTCACAAGCACCAATCTGGATGCATGAAGGTGCCCTTCTTCTGGTCAAAGAGAAAAGCTAAGTATTACTGCTTACATTGAATTCCCTGGGTCTAGAGACAGTCAGACAATGTCTTCATTATATTCTTTATTTGCAAAGGCTGGGGCAGAGAAAGGAAACAAAAGGAGAGATAATAGGATCCAAGAAGCCAAAATGCCTATATAAGCCACAAAGAGTGCATTCTCCCCAGTTCCACAGTCCACCAAGGAAGGACCTGGGTGGGTCATTTTCCCAGGGGCCAGCCCCCAGGAGAACTTTCTCAGGAGTTGGCCCACAGTTATGTCACTGAATGGTGGCTACAGCCTGACTCATGCTCATAGTGCATCAAGGTCATTTCCTATGCTTGGTGCTGGATGAGCCCTGAGGAGACAGGAAAACCTGTCCTTGGCAGTGGTGAATGCTGATGGAGTCTGGTGTCAGGTGCCAAGGGCATGGGGAGGGTTACTGAGAGCAAGCTAGGAAGACTACACAGATGGTCACACTCTCAAGGGCACTGATAACTAATGAGCAGCTAAGGCTCTGAAGTGTTAATGAAGCTGTCCCAGAGCAGCAGAGCAATGAGGCTGGAACTCAGTTATTCGGAAGCTCACACTCTTTCTTCTGTACTAGATCACCACTGTCACCCTGGAGAAAGGCGTGCCCAGCAGCACTCATTCACACACACATGCATTTGTCCACTGTGCTTGTGAGTATCTACTTTGTGCCAGGAGCCATGGCTCTTGCTGGTATCACAGAACTGAGTATAATAGTCAAGGTGCCTGGTTGGAGTGGGGCACAGATTCTTAATAGATAATGATATATAAATTCAAAGTTCTATGAAAGTACAGCAACAAATAGAGGAGGGAAATAAGATAAACATCTGGAGGCTTAAAGCCTGGAGATCAAGGAGGTCACATGTAAATTACATCAGGAAGTATCAAGGAGCAGGGATGTGGGGACACTGGCTATTATCCAGAGGCCTTTAGTCAACCCAGCTAGGTGGTGGGGAGCTCTTGCCTCCAGTGAGCAGAGGCTAAAAGTCCTTCGATGAAGAACAGCCCCAACTGGGAAGAGTTTTCAAGCCCAAACTGTCAGGAGCACCAACATTGAGAGACCTGGATTTAGACTAAAACATAAGACAAAGAAGCAGCTGGTCCTACAAAGAATGGGGGAAGAATTCCAGGTGAAAGAGACAACAAAGAGTGCAGAGGAGACTTCTGGGCTGCCATACCACCACTCCCAGTGCAGAGGAGGCTTCTGGGCCACTGTACCACTGCTCCCAGAACAGTGGAGGCTTCTGGGCCACTGTACCACCACTCTCAGCACACAGGAGGTGGGCCACACGGGTGCCAGCTGCACACACACACCCCACCGAACCCCACCAACACCACACCCCACACACACCCCCAATCAAAATGAGAAGACACATAAACAAGCCTCAAAACCAGACTTCCAGATCACCTATAGCAACCCCAAAGGGAAATGAGATGGAACACTCTGATACTCAACCACCCAGACTCCTTCAACTGGAAACAAAAGAGGATCTGGAAAAAATGAAATAACAAATAATTCTCAGATAACACCAGAGATTGTGCCCATAGTGCAAGACATGATTAATAAATCTAGAGAAGACCTGAGGAACATGATGGAATGCCAACATAGGAAACAAATGGAATCCATAAAACAGATGCAAAAAATTTCCAGATTAAAAACTCCATTGAAAGTCTCCACAGGAGAATGAGCCAATGTGAGGACAAAATTTCAGATATATAAGATAAGATTCCTATTAGTGATCAGGAAAAGAAAAATTGCTTTAAAATTGTAAGGGAACATGAGAAATCAATCCAGTAGCTGCTAGACAATGCAAAGAACAATAATATAAGACCAACTGGAGTCAACAAAGAAACAGGAGAGAGTACAAAGGACATGAAAAAACTCCTCACAGAAGTGATGGCAGAAAACTTCCCAAGCAGGGGAAAAAAACTTGACATACAAATAAGTGAGGCATATGGGACTCCAACTAGCCTTGATCAAAAAAAATCCACACATAGACATATAATTGTTAAGATTCCAGAAACCCAACTGAAGAACAAACTTCTGCAAGCAGTTAGAGAAAAGAAACAAATCACATGCAAAGGAAATCTCATTAGAATGACAGCAGACTTCTCAATGCAAACCCTCAAGGCAAGAAGAGCTTGGAGTGATGTATTGCAAGCCCTAAAGGGAAACAGTCTTCAACCCAGACTGATGTACCTTGCAAAATTATCTTTCAAAATTGATGGAGAAATAAGATACTTTCATGACAAAGAGCATCTTAGGAACTTCATGAATACCAAAGCAGCACTCTAAAAAATTTTAGAAAATATCCTAGGAAAAGGCAAGGATGACAACCCCAGGAAACACAGAAGAATGAATCTGTCAGGTGCAACAAGAAATTAAATACAAAGGGGGAGAATCCAACAAAACGAAAAAGTCATGACAATGATAAGTCAATACTTATCAGTTATAATGATCGATGTTAATGGTCTCAATTCACCAATCAAAAGAAATAGACTGGCAGAATGGGTCAAGAAGCAAGATCCAACAATATGCTGCATACAAG